TGCGCGCTGCGGACGGCCGCGGCCGGGAATCGACCGGCGCGTTGTGAGGTCGGAGACTCGTGGAGAGCGTCTGGCGCGCCTGGAGGCCGGATGACGGAGGTGAAGCCGAGCGCCGCGCCGCTGATGACGGTGTGAACGATCTGAGCAATGCGGCGGATTGTATCTACGAATGCAGGGCCGGGGGGCTCGTGTCCGCTTCTGCGAACAGTGGTCAAGTGTCAGTACACATTTTGGCTTGATGTGCACAACCGTTGTCTGCATGAACAAATGCGAGAAAGCCTGCAAAGGAATTCTGGCGATGTGCCCGCGACTTGACTTCGCCCGCAGACCTGACCGCCATATTTAGAGCAACGTGGGGGCGCCCGTACCGAACATGTCGAATGCAGCCTTTTTCGTCCGCGGCGTCACCAAAGTCGCTTGATGGTCGTTTTAAGCGCTGTGATTTGGGGATGTTTGGTAGAAATCCCGTTTAACGAAAAAAAAAACAAATTCTCGGTTTCCAGGAGTTGTTTTACTTGTGAGCACCATCTTTACTGTGAGTCATGCTCCTGTACCGCTTGGAATGCAGTTAAACCGTGCTGGTGGATCCGTGATGTCGGGCCACATTGTGCATTAACGTCCAAAAACCTCTATGTTGTCATATTTCTAGATCCGGGAACATAATGACACGTAACGCTTCTCAGATGGCGGTAATGGGTCTGAGAAGGATCAACCCGATGGTGCTCAGATGACCAGGCTTTTTAGGCAACACATCCATGCTTGGTTTTATTCGACATGATTTTTGCCCCTGGTGTCGGATCGTGCGAGGGTGCAAGGCATACCAGGAATGAAGGGCGTTGCAGTGACATTTTCAGCCAACTGGTTATCGCTTTGATCGCTCTCATGCGGCACGGGGCCTCCAGCCAGCCCGGTGACCTTGACCTTGACTGCGGGCGCCGGTACATTGCAGGCGCTGTCGTGAGCCAAGTTCTGATTGGCCACGGCCGGGCTGCTGGACCCGTGCCAGCAGCGCCCCGCCCTTCAAACCAGCCTCGGACCGCGACGCCGGCACCCTCCCCTCCCCCACCACCGCTGACCGCCGATCTGCCTGTGGAGGCGACCGGCAATGAAGCCATAGAGAAAGCAAACACAAACTTAAAATGGGAGTGGCGCTCATGTGTTAACACCGTGTGCGAGCATGAGTCTCTCATGTGCTGAACTTGCAAGATGAGGGCTTGGTGCACTCCCCTGCCCCCCCCCCCCCCCACCCCCTGTCCAAGCTGTCAGAACTGTTCTGTTCAGACGGCTTCTACGTCGGCTTCATGTGGCCAGGCATGGCGATAATCACCACCGTTTGGGGTCGATAGTGTCCAGAGCCCAATAGGCCATTTTGAGCAGGTTGAGCTATTTTGGTTTTGACCATGTGACATGGTATCAAAATCGACATGAACTCCAGGGAGATATAAATGGAACGTTCCTTATTTCAAGATATTGAAGATATTGTCGCGTGGGGGGGGGGGGGAGACAGATGGTATAGGCGGAAAGAGACGGTGGTGTGACGGCAGCACGCTGGCGGCAGATGTCGGAGATGAAGTCCTCACTCTCCTCTAACCACACAGCGCCTTGACGCCGAGGACCGTTGTGCCGAGGGGGTTCCGCCTGCTCGCTACCGCAGCGGGGAGAGCGAGGGCGGCGGCTGTGGGGGGGGGGGGGGGGGCGCCTGCCGAGCCGGCGCCGGAGCCTGCGCAGCCACCGCGCCTCTATGGTAATGTCCCGACACAGGAATGTGCCGCCAATGAGTGCGCGTCTTCTCAAGGTCCCCGCATGCATGGCGCAGTCACGTGGAACGCTGGATGCCGGCCGGCTCGTGACACGCGGTCCGCCGCCGCTGCTGGGAGAGCGCTGCCGCTGCCGGAGTGGAGGGGCCGCCGGCCGGCCCGGGACGCGCCGACGGCCCAATCACCTCACCATGGCTTTCCGCTGTGGGTTAGTGCAGGCTTGAAGTACATTTGTGAACCGCCCCGCTTCAGGAACCTTTACGGCCACATGCTGCTTATCTGTCGATCATAAATGTTAGTAGGACGTATTTATTTTGAGCACATACCTCTTACTTCATTGTAATGTGCGCGAAGCTGATCAATTTAACGAATATGATGCTGTCTATGTACTTGGACGATGGCGCAGGTGCGCCTTACTGGTCCGGTTCAGTGCGCTCTTAGTTGCACGCTCATGAGCGTCTTTTCTCGACCCGTGCTGGATTGTGGAACACCCGAGGATTTTTTAACTGACCCGCGTCCGAAAGTGATTGATTGACCCGTGCCGGACGTGATTGACCCGTGCCGGACGCCTGACCAGGGTCCGATAGTGGATCGTCTGACGCGATGAGCAGTGAGTCGGCTCTCAGTCGCGGTTGATGGGGCGGCAGCTCCAGACACGGACGTCTGTCCAACTTGAGGTCTGCTGGTGCGGACCCGTCGCTCCGTTTGTACGGTAACCGCGCTGGAGTCATCATCGGAAGCCGGAGCTGGTTGGCCTCCAGAAAAAGACACGGGCCTTGGACTGAGCCACCGGCATACCGGAGCCGGCGCGTGAGTCGATGTCGGGCCTGACGTGTTTGCTCTAGATGCCGGGGCTGGTGGTCCAGCGAGAGACGTCGAAATCTGAAATCTGAGCTGCTGCTGGCCAGTGTGAGCCCAACCGGGTCCCACGCCGGTGGGAGCAGGTCGCACTTGGCAGGTTTCACATCCGCGCGGACTCTCCGTGGTGTTCGGCCGTGTGGTCAGGCCGTGATTAATGTGATGAGCAGGTAGATAGGCGTCCGGTGCTCATCCCAGAAGCTCTCACCGCGCGCCCGTAGTTTCTAATGAGCACCTGATGCCTCCACGTGGGGTCGAACTTAGGGGCCCTCGCACGCGCGGTCATTTAAGTCGCCGATCGCGTGCCCTTTGGTGGTCACGTGTGCTGACTGGTGCGCACGTTGTGACACCACCATATCCATTGTATTGGGTCCTGGTGCCATTACCTTGACACCTGAACACAAAAATGCATTGGTGGATGCATCATCGGTGCATCAAATATCACCGTCGCTCTGCCGCTGGACAAAGCAAATGTGGTTAAAAGGGGGGGGGGGGTCAAAAGCTTGGTTAGGAGCCTCAACTTTCACCTCGAACTTAAAACATAAGGATGTGAGACGTTTTGCTGTGCGCCACCTGCTGGTCTAGCGCTGGACCAGCCGCTTTGCGTGCTGGTTGGAGGGGGCGGAGACGGGTCACGCGCCATGCTCGGCTGGGCTCAGCCCGGCTCGGTGGCTGTGCGGCAGAGGATCGGGCCGAACGCATCCGTCCGCGCCACGAGCGGAGATGAGGTGGTGGTGACGTCATGCTCAGCTGACGGCTGGTGGCAGACGGCAGTCAGCGCCGACGATGGCATCATTTCGCAGCGGTATTCAGCAGGGGCGCGAATCGCTCAATGGCTGATAATTCGTAGTCATTCCCTTTGGAAGGCGCCATATGGTGGGTGAGTGAATTCACGTGGGTAAATGGCGCTGACTTCAAGCAAACAAAACTATTAACAGACGCTCACCGCAAACTATACTTGCCGTGCCAGGTCCAGCCGCCTGCCGCCGCCCGATGTCGCTAATTGTGCCGGTGATTTATTCTTGCTCTCTGAGGAAAGTAACTTGCTGGCCTCTGGTGGGCGGTCGATTTGAGAACGGTACTGTTGTAAACCGACGGCCAACTTAATTACCGGCACTCCGCTCGTAAAGCGGTATGGCGATCATTCAGCCGGGTCGTTTCTTCTCTCACACTGCGCACCGCACGAGTATTCTCTGACCGTGATGGGCCCCGCTGTCGCCGGCCACGCATCCGGTGGCTCACTGAGAGCACAGTATGCGCCCCAGGCCGGCAGCAGACAGCCCGGCCTCCAGTCGACCGTTGGCACATCATAACCGAGCCGTACAACGCCGTCAGCTCCGGGGCTAAGTGGCCAATAGGCCATCAGCGTCATAAAGGCACGCCCTTGCAGAGCAGCGCCGTCCAGCCAAAGTACCGGGCCGCGCGGGGAGCCGAGCTTGTGAGTAGCTCGGCCGCCGACGGCTTGTGATTCGAATAAGCCGCCTTATAAAGGGCCGTTTCCACACATTCAGCCCTGCTCTCCGAAATCCGGCACTAGGGGTTCGTTCGTGCAATCGCGCCGCACTGAATATAAAACAAATTTCCCTCACGGAAGGCGAAGCGATGCCAGTTCGAGCTAATGTCTGTTTCGGTTTCTATGTCCTGGCCTGGCCGTCACACGCGTGGTGCATAATGCATGTCAGATATCTGGCCAAACCAATCCTCCTGCCCAATTCGCTCTTTTCTGTCCATGGTATGAGCAGGGAGATAAACAACCGTAGCAATCCGATGTAGACGTCGTGGAGACAGGAGTTGACAGGACACATGATAAAGACACCGTAAAACGATAAAGAAAATATACACATGGCATGTTAGGTATGGCTGTACGACTGCAGATGCAAATACAAAACATGGACGGATCATTGCCGTCGGTGAAGTGGTGGATGTTGCGGTCTGTGGAGTGGTTGACATGGATGGACCGGCTGATGTGCACGTCTGTAAGTGGTGTGACCTTGTCCCTGTTCCCGGCCGTTGGAAACGTGGACGCGGGTGGACCGGCTGAGGTGGACGTGTGTGAATGATCTGACCTTGTTCCCGTCCACAGCCGGCGGAGCGGTGAACAGGGTGGACCGGCTGAGGTGGACGTAAGCGAATGATCTGACCTGGTCCCTGTCCACAGTCGGCGGAGCGGTGAACAGGGTGGACTGGCTAAGGTGGACGTAGGCGAATGATCTGACCTTGTCCCTGCCCACAGTCGGCGGAGCGGTGGACACGAGTGGACCGGCTGAGGTGGGCGTATGTGAATGATCTGACCTGGTCCTTGTCCACAGTCGGCGGAGCGGTGGACACGAGTGGACCGGCTGAAGTGGGCGTATGTGAATGATCTGACCTTGTCCCTGTCCACAGCCGGCGGAGCGGTGGACACGGGTGGACCGGCTGAGGTGGACGTCTTCGGGCCGTCGCTCTCAGACGATGGTGGCAACAGACCCATGATACCGGTAAGCACCTGCGGTCTGGCCGGCCTTGTCGCCGGTCATTCTGGCTGTCTTGCTCGGCGCCGAACGCGTTAAGGGAAGTGCTCTGTCTGATAGTCAGTGGCCATGTTATTTCTTTGTCATTGAGTTGATGGTGGTAAGTCGGACCGTTATAGTAGCGGTGTGGGATTTTTAGGACGTGTAGACCTGACATTCCTTGCTTCCTTAAAGAGTAAAGCAGTTGGGCTGCGCTTACGAATTTCATTAATGTCCAAAGCCGCTTGTGAACAACAATGTCTCATGGCCACGGACATGAACATCGCTGCGCTGTGAGCACAGCCCCTCTCTAACACAGACCGTCCTGCTGTGAGCACAGCCCCTCTCTAACGCGGACCGCCCTGCTGTGAGCACAGCCCCTCTCTAACACGGACCGCCCCGCTGTGAACACAGCCCCTCTCTAACACGGACCGCCCTGCTGTGAACACAACCCCTCTCTAACACAGACCGCCCTGCTGTGAGCACAGCCTCTCTCTTACACTGACCACCCTGCTGTGAGCACAGCCCCTCTCTAACACGGACCGCCCTGCTGTGAGCACAGCCCCTCTCTAACACGGACCGCCCTGCTGTGAGCACAGCCTCTCTCTTACACTGACCACCCTGCTGTGAGCACAGCCCCTCTCTTGCATGGACCGTCTTGCTGTGAGCACAGCCCCTCTCTAACACGGACCGCCCTGCCGTGACCACAGCCTCTCTCTTACACTGACCGCCCTGCTGTGAGCACAGCCCCTCTCTTACACTGACAGCCCTGCTGTGAGCACAGCCCCTCTCTTACACTGACCGCCCTGCTGTGAGCACAGCCCCTCTCTAACACGGACCGCCCTGCTGTGAGCGCAGCCTCTCTCTTACACTGACGCCCTGCTGTGAGCACAGCCTCTTTCTTACACTGACCGCTCTGCTGTGAACACAGCCCCTCTCTTACACTGACCGCCCCGCCGTGAGCGCAGCCCCTCTCTTACACTGACCGTCCTGCTGTGAGCACAGCCTCTCTCTAACACGGACCGCCCTGCTGTGAGTACAGCCTCTCTCTTACACTGACCGCCCTGCTGTGAGCACAGCCCCTCTCTTACACTGACCGCCCTGCCGTGAGCACAGCCCCTCTCTTACACGGACCGTCCTGCTGTGAGCACAGCCCCTCTCTAACACGGACCGCCCTGCTGTGAGCACAGCTCCTCTCTTACACTGACCGCCCTCCTGTGAGCGCAGCCCCTCTCTTACACGGACCGTCCTGCTGTGAGCGCAGCCCCCTCTTATACGGACCGCCCTGCTGTGCGCACAGCCCTTCTCTTACACTGGCCGTCCTGCTGTGAGCGCAGCCCCTCTCTTACACGGACCGTCCTGCTGTGAGCGCAGCCCCTCTCTTACACGGACCGACTTGCTGTGAGCACAGCCCCTCTCTTACACGGACCGGCCTGCTATGAGCGCAGCCCCTCTCTAACACGGACCGTCCTGCTGTGAGCGCAGCCCCTCTCTTACACGGACCGTCCTGCTGTGAGCACAGCCCCTCTCTTACACGGACCGGCCTGCTAGGCCTGCGTCCAAACATCGCCACGGCGCTGACCCCCGAGCGGCAAGGCACCGGACACGGCATCCGACGTCCACTACGACTCGATGTGCGACTCGGCCACCGGCCACCGCTGCCCGGCGTTTCACACGAGGCTCCGCCACGTCCCGACCTCGTGCTCGCGCGCGCGCGCTTCACTATAAAGTCGGACGGTGCCGGTGATGAATTCCGATAGAGTCGGCGACCGTGTTAATTGATTTTGGCGCGGGCGCACCGGCCGGGCGCGCCTGTAATGGATGGAGGCTGATGTCGCCCGCCGACGGTATGCTAAGTACGCGGGAAATCATTTGTATCTCGGTCGGGTATCGGGTGAATGCCTGGGGGCCGGATGACTCGGCGTCGGCCGACAAACGGGACGCAGCCGACCTGGAACGGACCGGCGGCGCGTAGGCCGAGCCTGAGGTCTCGGCCGCGGCCGGCCAGCGGTCGTCTGGACTTAAGCAGTCGGACTTCGATGACAGCAGAACATGTTTGCGAGGACATTGTGTCTTGTTTTGACGTGTTAGGTATGGACCTTGGCACCAGTGCCACATGCAAGTCGATTACGAGCTGCGGGACGTTTGCCACCGTTTATGCACCATACAAGTGCCAATAACTCATGATATCTGTGTTAGGCTTATAAGCATTTTCAGGCCATCCATCCGGCTACGTCCCTCACATAGTGTGTTTCGATATAGGCAGCCAGCAGCCACAGCTTTGACCGTTTGTTCGTCAAACTGCTGCACATCAACTGTGAAGTCTGCACCTAAGTCCGCATGTGTACCTTGTCCATACTTGCTCGGACGTTCTGGCGTTCGTGAAAGCCTTTGTGTAATTTATTGTGTGTGCCCGTTTGCGCGTGCCCATGAAGATGCAGTGGGAACAGTTTTTAGGAAAATGTACCAGTCTCTCGGCAATTACCTATGCTTTTCATCACTGAAATACGATGATAAAACGTGATTATAATAACTTTGAATTTGGTTATATATGCAATGCTGATTTCTTGACAGGACTGCGGCGTAAAAGCAAACCGGCTCAAAAACATCTGAATATACCTAGTTAACGTAAGGTGCACGACGTACAGGTGTATAAACTTGTTTTTTAAACTATGAACCAATCTATACTGTATATATATATATATATATATATATATATATATATATATGTATGTATATGTATCTATATAAACTATACCATTAACTTAACTTTAAACTCCTTTTATTGTACGCAATGTTAGAGCATGTCTAGAAATACGGATAATGAAACGACACGGGAAACCAACATCAGCGCCATTAGAGCAGAGCAGTGTATACCGCCCGCTTACATTATTAGGCCGTATGGTTAACATAATAAACGACTGTGTGCTAAGTATTCAACGTTGGGTGTTCCTTTACTACAATCAGCATTAACCATTACCATAACACATCCTGATGATCAGTTACGATTTTCTTTTGCTAGTACCTGGTGGAATATGAGATGTCGACTATTCTCAGCACAAGACCTCGTCTGCTGCTCTTTAATGAGAAAAATCTGCACAATAGATCCCTACTCTCCGAAGTCGTAAACAAGTGGCTTGTTTGCGTAACCGAATTTAAAAGTGAATGCCTAGTCTGCGAATTTGAAACGAACTTCATCAGGTTGACGCAAGTAAACGCTGGGTCGAGATAGCTTCTTGCTTAAGCACTAAGATGAATGTTGTATTTTTTCATTCGTATTCATTTCGTTATTCATTATTCTTCTCCATTCTCACGTGGACGCAAAACAAACGTATATCTACAGGGATGCAGTGGACACACGGCACTGGGCTATAGCTTGCGTATGCCATCCGTTTACGAAAAGAAACTTATTACGATGGTACAAATGTTGCGATATATGATCTCTGCATCACGGTCAACAGGGACAAGTCATGCGATTGATCTGTGCTCAATGCACGCACATCAGCTGCATGACACCGTAGCATGTTTCATCGAAATGAGACAGCGTGAAAGGGAATAAGCCAAGCGCAGACTCAGCAAAGAATCGTGGTGTGATCAAGTTTTAATTTCTGCGTCTAGGTGAATGATTATACGGAAACCACGTTAACAGAGAGGGGGGAGAGAGAGACAGCGAAGCTGTGCGAGAATGTGTGCCAACCTGCGATATGGATACTTCATACGCAAGGCATATGCCACTAGTGAAATGCGAAAAATTTAACAGGCCCTTGACATTGCTTATATTCACATGATGGCATAATTGCATTATCTATTTTGGTTCTGTCAATGGAAACAGTTTGTCGCAGTTAAGTCGCACGTGCTGAGATGATGCATGTTTTGGTGGGCAACATTTCTGCCATTTTCAAGAAAGATACGCGTTTTTGAAGGTGCCGGTGATGCAACCATCTGCAACCACGTATCTATGTTCAACATTGGTGTTTGTTTTACAAACTTTAGAGAGCAAACGGCTGGTGTGGCCTCCATCGATCCAGCAGCCAATGGAAGACGCAATATCGGCGGCAAGTTCAAACGTCATTTAAGATGTTTTGTGTATATTTGTACGATAGCTTACCATTTCTGGGATCAGAGAGATAAGAACTCAGCAGCCGTATAGGAGTAGACGCAGCGATGGGAGCACAACATTCGGTCGTGAGAAAAGCTCGTCATGTCTGGCCTGACATCGGTGGGAAGATCATGGAGTAATAACAGCTGCACATTCAAAGACTTTCTGTTTACGAGCGTAGGCAGGCTCTTGAAAAAACGATAAGTTTTCGCTTTTGTTTGGCATTGAATCTTAGGATCGAACTTCTCATTGGAGAAGAGACGAGAAAAACGGTACGGGACTTTTCTCACAAGATTATTGAGATAAATATTATCCCCGCGCTGTCACATAGACCGCATGCATTTGCAATAGATGCTCTCGGTCGCGTACGCTCTCCTGATCTGTTCTTTAACTGGTGACGTCACCGTTGGCATGGGCTCATGACGTGCAATGTAGCGTGCTGAGTAAGATGGTCCATTCGCAAACATGATGGCTCACTCACTGCATATGATTGATTCCTTTCCTTGTTTCTTTTTCTATTTCGTCATTGTCCAAACACAGTATGTTACCTAGCATACCTCTGGGGGGACGCAAAGTAGCCGAATAATTGTATGTTTGTAATTATCTGTGTGTTGGAGGATCGCAAGAATGACCTCGGAAGTCCAAATTATTTTTGGAACCCCGAACATACATGGGTGTTGTTCCTTTGCAGGCGTGCCTGTTCATATTTTTGCGATGGCAATATTTTGGTGGATTCAACTAATAATTCCATTATCCATCCAACCACACCGTTGCGCGCGAAGATTGGACAGACCTCAGGTACACGACCCTGCTCGCCGCATTCCGGGCGTCTCGTCAGTGTTCCGAGCCATCGCGGCTGGCCCGAAACCTATGGTACTGTGTTTGACCACTAGATGTCAGTGGCATCCTCCTCCGCCAGGCGATCGTTCGAGTTCTGCTCGACGAGGGCGAGGTCAAGTGCGTGCCCCTGACACCGGAGACGACCGCTCGTGACGTCATCGAGTGCTGCCGTGATCCGGACGAGCCGTTCTGCACTCTTATCCAGGAAACTCGAGACGGCGGTAAGTGGCCAAGCTTTTCATCAGGCTTCGTAACAAGCGCCTGCCGGCAGCCGCGCCGCCGACCCATCCGCGTTATGTGACCTTTCCGCACTGTTCTGGGCCTAATGGAAGAGGTGGATATGAAATTAGCTTATGCCATGTGAGCTTATAGTTGTAGTACGCTAAAAATGCTTTTTGGAAGCTTGCATGGTTCAAATTCCGTGATCTCTGCGGGTGAAATTGCCCATCTTTGTTCATTTTTCAATCTTACTTTTTAGCCTTTATCGTAACAGCTAACAGCAAAACGAATGCATCTCCCAATGAATATTTAAGATAACTCAGAACCTACGCAGACCTTCAAGTGAATTTCAACCTCAAGTACTTGTGGTCGAGGCTAAAAATGACTTGACTTGGCTTGTTTTGTTGACTAAAGCCTTAATGAGATTTAACTTCGAGCAAATGTGTATATGTCGTCGTTACCTACGGCCGTTGCATGCCGTTACAGCGAATGTCGCCGTTACATGTGCCCCTACAGCGAATGTCATCGTTATATTGGCAACCGTTGCATCGCCAAAGACAAAAGAAACCTAATCATAATTCGTTTCGTGGAACGCGCAATTGGCATCGGCGGAGAGGGGGGGGGGGGGGGCAACACCATCTTATTCAACCGATGCATTGTGAGCACACAGTCGATGTCACCTGTACAGCCCACGCTGGGCATGACATGTGCCTGTGTCCTAAGAAGAGTCGCAGGTTCTGCGCAGCCTCGTAATGCCGCGCACTGAGCATGGAAGTCTTCGCTCACCGACTGACAACAGTGAGACTCAGCGATTTTCCGCTTTAGGGGGCTCTAAACAGATCGCTTTTTAGGTGAACGGCATTTGTGTGAGTCGTGGAAGGGGAGGAGGGTGTTTGGAACACGCATGCCTGAACTACTTGCTTCCCCTGAGTGGCCTTCGGTTTCGACGCACATGGGTGTGGCCACTGGAGAGAGGAAAGGACAGGTGGGAGACCCGTCCGTATTTTCTCTCATAAAATGGGATTTTGCCTCCTTACGTTTTGCCCGAAGAATGCATGCTTTTCCACGTTTTCCCATTTAGATGTCATTTCAGGTTAGGTTGTTCGCCCCACGTTCCAAATTGACCTTCCAACTCTTAATTGCCCCCCCCCCCCTCTCAGAGCCGTGGTTACAGCTATGTCGTCACCCATGTAATTACCGGCAGTTCGGCCCCCGTGCTCGAAGGCGTTTGACATTGGGTGCATTCTGCATGTTGGGCCGGGCAGCCGTCTCATGATGTAGCTGGTACCATTCGCCTAGGTCCCGCTGGTCTCCGCTCCCCCCACCCCTCCGCTGCCAGCCCGCTCAGGTCGTTAGTGCGACTCGGGAAGCGGACTCGCCCGGACCCTGCCGAGGGGGAGGGGGTCTGGTCTGACCTGCCCTGGTCTGCAGTCACGGCCACGCGGCGGCTCTGTCCCAGTTATCGGCGTGCCGATGACGTACGCCGCGAAACATCAAACGGCTCCGCCGCGGATCTGAGCCGAGGATGGGGTCGGTGAGGCTGCGGAGGGGGCGGAAGGCGCATCGGAGATATCTAGATGGGTTGGATTATCGAAATAGTTCCCTAATGATTTTTTCATACAGCCAGCAACGAAATACGATCTCAAAACACAGCCATTCGGCGCCGGCCAATTCCGAACACCGGAAAAATAGCTTCGTTTGTGATTTGTCTCGGACCCTTACGCTATGAATTAAATCAATGAGAAATGCAAGCATCGCTAGGCCGTGCCTGTCTACGGTTGGCTTGTTAAAATGGAAACCGTGCAAAACTGTTACGATGTGCAGGCTGCACCTGGAAACAAGAAATAGACACCAATCGGGCAGCATGTGGCAACTGTCACATATTTAGCCGGAACAAATTCGGTGTACGTAAACACCTTGATGGTCTTCTTTCCATTTGAGGACTTGGGTGGAGCGTTAATTCTGCAAAGTTGTCGGAACTTATTTCTCCCGTCCCTCTCGTACCTGTAGCGGAGCCCATGGAGGCATTCGACCTGGGATGGGGAGGGGGCGGGGGGGGGGACGGCAGCACAGCGTGGTCCCGTCTCGCGCGCCGTAGCCTCGCTCCGACTGAGGCACGCCCTCTGGTGACGCCACCCGGGGGGGGGGGCCGACGGCAGGGCGGCCAGTCTGCAGCACTTGGGCCGACAGTCCAGGTCGTCAACGGCAACGTGAGCCTCATTATGCCGACCTCTCGGCGGAGCCCTGCCTCGAATTGGCGCTGAAGCGCGCTTAGAACCAGGCGCGCGTGACTGTGCGTGCCATCAGGCCGGGGTCGTCCACTGCCAACGGACCTCGCGGCAGTTGAAGCACGCAACTTTTTTGTGTTTTGTGTCTTACGTGGGTTCGTGTGCGCCCTCTACTGAAAAACAAGCGCGTGTGACATGGTGCGCACGTTCTCATACAGACATACAGGCAGGCAGACAGACATAGACAGACAGGCAGACATGGGTGACATAGACACAGACAGGCAGACATACATACCTGCAGGCATACAGACCCTAAATAATGTTATTAAAGAAAATAACACGTCCAGTAAAGATGTTGCGTAATATGTGTGCGTATGTCCACTATATTCACTCACCCGCGGTGACCAGTAGTTACATATGTCCACTATATTCACTCACCCGCGGTGACGAGTAGTTACATATGTCCACTATATTCACTCACCCGCGGTGACGAGTGATTACGGAGCCACAATTGTTGCTCCACACTTACTTTCTCGAACTCGACTTTCCGCGGCAGCTCTGACAAACACGCAAAAACTCGGCCGCACTGTCAGCGAATGACGGGAGCGGACCGCGGTGACCTGGGGCGAGAGGGAGCGAAACACCTGGCCCGTAATGTGTCCGCTGCCCCGCGGCGGCACGCGCCGTCTTTGCCCCACCCCGCGTCACCACACGTGTGACCCCGGCGGCCCATGGAACAGTGGCGTACTCAAGAGGAAAACCCCGGCACACTCTTCGGCACGAATGGTGTATGACGCAGCCCACAAACACGTGTCACAGGACCGGCTCTCAAATGATCGGGGCATGTCTGACTCTGACTCCCCCTCCCTTGGTACGTGCCCTGCGCGCGCGCCTGGTCCGGGCTGGTGCCAATAGCGCGGCTTCCGGCCGGCGCGGGTGCCGCCGCAGGCTGTTGTGACGTACCGCCGATGGCGACCGACAGGTGCAGCGTTCTGCTCCTCGCCCGCCGCTAATGACACCGCCGCTCGGACGGAACTGCCCGGCGGCCGGGGCGCGGCCGCACTGAGACAGCACGACCGCTCCAGCGGTGGGCGATAGCTCTGCTCATGCGTCCGCTGTGACCTAGCCCGTGGTCAATTGAGGATTTTTGTAATGACGTGGGCGCTGCCGTTGCCAGGGGTAACCTCTTCGCGAAAATAATGGTAGTTGCGCGATTTGTCTGTCTCTCACTGGCCTGCTTTCGCACCACATGATCAGCTAACAAGTACACACATAGGATGTGTCTTTCCCTTACCAAATTGATGGGGTGTATGGATACGTACGTGTTTAAATGTTGACAGCTATACATTCTAGATAGGCACGCAAAGTTAAGGAGATCGAGAAATGACGATGTTGCTTTACAACACGCAGTGATACCGCGCTGCGAGTGAGCGAAACTTGAAGTTCAGTGAAAAGCTCTGAATTGTGTCCCCTGCGAAATCCTGCGCACGCCCCCGCGATCAGCCCCTATCTTGCGCCAAACTCAGGATAGTAAGCTCCCTTACCCTGCGTATTCTCCCACCGACTGAAGTTGTTAACGCCTGGATCCCCGACAACATCAATCGGTGAATCCTCGTGCTCGGCCGCGGCTCGTGACCTTTCCCGCCACCTCTGCATGGGATCATCCAGTGGTGACCTCAGCATGGCCCTGATCACCATAGGTGCCACCCCGCGGTCGCCGAACTGCTGGTAATCATGACTGTAAGCGAGCGGCCAGCCGGCGCCGAGTGCAGCGGGTCTCGCACCGACAACGGTGTGCTGACCCAGATGGCTCGTGCGGTCACTGCTGGCCGGGGCTCCGTGCTCTGTGGTACGTCCTTACTGCTCACTGCTGGCCGGGGCTCCGCGCTCTGTGAGACGTCCTTACTGGTCACTGCTGGCCGGGGTGGCGGGCTTTGCGAGACTTCCTTACTGGTCACTGCTGGCGGGGGCGGCGGGCTTTACTGGACTTCCTCCCCTGGGACCGGACTTCAACTGGCTGAGTGATTGATTACGTTATGATTGGATCACTTTAAGAATCTAGAGAACCGTGGAATGGTAAAAGGACTGTTCGAGCGATGGGGCAAAGCGAGCCACGTTTGGTGTCCTAACAAGACGACAACAGACATGGTCCGTACATTTACTTCATGTAGAATGGTGTGCACCGTGGAATCATACGTCCGGCGCCTCTTGATTGTGCAGTGTATATGGACAGTCTGTCGGGAAATGCGTCATATTTTGATTGTGCTGCCTGGGAAACGTTTAAACTCGCTTAGAAGTTTCAAATCGTATCGTTCTGCCGACGATTTTCTGGAAACGTCCTAACAGGATTACACGTCTAGTGGGATTTATCAGTTGCAACACTTTCCAGACGGACTGTAAGCTACATCGTCTGGAAAATAGCCCCAGCTACACTGCTCTGTCCGATATTACAGCCAAGTGGACGTAAATGACGGATCGGCTGGGAAAGCGGCAGCCACAACTCGTTTGGTTACGCCACTCGGTCCTCTCTCTCTTCGCACGCCGTCTTATTGTCTGTCGCCAGCTGATGATCACTGTGCCCGTAAACATTCATTACGGCTTCCATTCGACCGGCCAGATTCACCGGCGTAATACACGGCCACTTCGTCATGCTCGTCGGCTCCCTGGCCTATGGTGACGTGCCCATACTGGGAGCGAGGCCGAGAGTCCACGTCGACAATGGCTGAGCGATGCGGCGAGGGCGAGCCCATTCCCGGCTTAAATGCGTCGTTTGTCCGAATCGGGCGGCGGCGCAGGCTAACGAGCCAATTTATCTCGCCAGTTTTCATAATAATGTCGACGATTCCATTAAATCCGCGAGTTATTTTCACCTCGCGACCTAACGAGACCCGCCGCTAATGCCGTCTGGGCCGCTCCATTACGGCCCGTCGAACCGATGCCGACGCGGCGCCGCTGGGGCCGCCGCCGCGGAGGAAGCCGGTGGCGCGGGCCGCGAGAACGGAGCCCCTCCTTGCGGCCGCGGCCGGCCGCAGCCCGTCACCGGGTCACGGGAGCGTCTCCCAGGCGCCGTCACCGGGTCACGGGAGCCTCTCCCAGGCGCAATGGCTGTGGAGCGTTTGACACGGCTGGCTCGAGCGGGCCTGCTGCACACATACCAGGTTGACGAATTGCAGGTGGCTATAGGGGATGAAAGCACTTTGACCTAAAGCGGCAGAGGTGGGGTCACGTAGTCATGGGGTCGCAAAGATGCGCAAATGGTCGAGCGTCATGGGGATGGAGTACACGAGTTATTTCCGGTGGTGCAACGGCGATGCCGGTCACGAAATCGACGGACTATTGCACTGGAGTTATAAATATATTTGCCAGTTTAGCTAACTGATCGCCAAAAGCCGGTTTTGATCCCATCAAGCTTCGCCTGCGATGAGGATAACACGTGTTCTACCCTTTACCGACATGTAAGAGACAGTGATTTTTTCGTGTGATTTTTTTTTGCGAGCAAAATTGTGAACCGAGCTACAAACTCTTCTATCAAAATAGTGTGCAAGGAACCCAGTTGAATCGGTTCTGTTCTCAAGACTCGGGGAGGCGACAGAAAACAGGATCAGTGATTGAAAGTCATGCCAACATCCATTGCTGCTTGCCGTTCGTCACAGCCATTCCCGCGAAAACAGGCCCATCTGGCGATGATTTACGCAATAGACGCACCGCCCTCATCTATAACGGAAGATTACGAACAGTCGTTTGTCGTTGTGCGTCCCGACAGGCCATGTTATTGGCTACTGGCGAGCCCCTGCCGCTGCCAGATAAGCTCGACAGCAGCGATCTCAAACGAGGGGCCATCACGCTGCTGGAGCGCCGGCGCTCCTCGAGCTCTCTCCTGGGCGACGCGTGCACCATCTCACATTCTGGGAAATGGCGCGAGCGGAATCAGCGGAGCCACGGCGGCGTTCGTCACGTTATCTCGCTAAATGTGGGCATACTGATGTGCTTCGTGTATTTAAGCACCTCATGAGGCTACAACGAGGACGCAGGTTCATTTGTCTGCGTCGCGCGGATGTGACGTCGCTATTATTTCTGATCCGTGACTAGGCGTCTCATCATGACGCCAGAATCACTGTGAGTTGCTGTTTCCGTGGCGCACCGCGATTAACACGCAGTCAAGTCATCGGCTAAATGGCTTCTCCCCTGCGCTTTCACAGAACTTGTCTCGGCCGCGGTCTCTATGTTGTTACATGCGTTTGAAATGCGAGAGCAGAATTATGTCAAGTGGATTATAGCAGCAAACATGCATCCTCGATCGACTTTGTGTTATTGGTTGTGAGTGTTCCAGCAGTGTCATGTGTGCTGTAGTCTTATCAGTGGAGGGAAAATGACCCACAGTTACCTTGCTACACGAAGCTAGCCCGCCGTTACCTTGCTGCAAATAGCTGGCCCGGCCCGACGCCCTTCGCGCGTCTCCTTCGCGCTCTGAAAACAAAGCCTCGGCTTACGAAAGCCCCGCGTGCCGACAGACACAGTACAGCTCCCAGGTGTGGGAGCCAAAGCGTCATGGGAGTCTCGAGCCCACCAAAGTCCCTCTCCAAACATCTGGAAACATTTAACGCGAGGCTCGCGGCGATGCATGGAAGGAAACCACTGAGGGTGCCTCTAAGCTTTCTCAATCCTGTACAGAGTCCGGCGCCCCTGCGCTGGTCAGCACTCTCCGTGCTGAGTTCACGCTCCGGTCGGTCATTACCGTATCTGGGGACCCTGTCAGCTGGCATTACGTCTCTGCTCAAGACCGTCAGCGTTAGTGGTCGCCGCCCCTCCGCAGCGTCACGAAGGGCACGTGAGGCGCATTTTCTCGTGGGACTGGAGCCGGTCCTGAGTCTCCTTGGCGTGCTCCGTCACCAGAACCTGACACGGCGGCGGCGTGTTAGCTCTGGATTACCGCGCCGGTCGCCGCCGCAGCTGCGCCGTTAGCCGCGCCCGCCGCCGGCTTTCAGCGTCGTGCGTGCGTCCGGGTCCCCGACGGCTCGTCCTCCTCCCGGCAGTGAACGGCGGGGGTCCGTCTTCCACGAAGGAGGGTACCCTGGAGCAGACCGTGGAGGGTGCCACGGAGCAGACCGTGGAGGGTGCCACGGAGCAGACCGTGGAGGGTGCTACGGAGCAGACCGTGGAGGGTGCCGCGGAGCAGACTGTGAAGGGTGCCACGGAGCAGACCGTGGAGGGTGCCACGGGGCAGACCGTGGGGGGTGCGGTGATCGTCTGGAGCGTGTCTCGAGCCCTGCAGCGCTGGCATTCAGTGGGCTTACTGGGAAGCGGCGAGGCCTGCTTTTGACGCGGGTCTGGGTGTGATCAGTGCTGAATGAGCTATTGGTCCCCAGCGATATTGACCTCAAAGGAGTGGTGATTGGTGCAGAAAGATTGCCCTGCCCTCAGTAGACCGGTCATTGGTGCAGCGCGGTCGTTCCTCGCAGTACCAGCCTGAGAAACCGTGCACGTGGCACTGGATCCGCATTCAGTAGATTCTGATGACGTCACTATAATTTACGACGTGGATGCTGACTGCAGGATTGGCGTGTCCAATGTGGCCGCCCACCAGAACGGCGCATCCACTCCAGCCCACTGAAGTGGCGCGTCCAGTCTGGCGACCCACTGGAATGGTAGTACTGATCCTGCAGTCACTGGGATGGGGTGGTCGGGCTGTAGGGACATGTGCCCTTTGTCCTTTGCGTGACTTCCACGCGCTCCCATGGGGCCTCGCTTGTATAGAAAGAGACACCATGGGATTATTTGAAGTGGATGAATCCCTCGATGAGAAATCGCCAGATATCGGAGTCTAAAATGCTGGATAATGCAATGGGTCATTTACGGGACATGTCGTCATGATTCCGATCTGCTGGCATCGCTGCCATGCACTGCTAATCTTTTAGTTATGCGCATTCCTGGAAGAGGTCCAGTTGGATGGAGGCATCTTTCCTCTAGGTAGGGGTACTTATCATCTAATTAGCAGATCGCATTAGTTCTGACAGTCGCGGGACGGCCGGTCAACCGCGAACAAAAAATGAAGACAGAAGCGCACTGACAGCAGGCAAGATGACTATCAAAAGGACAGAGTACTAATGGCAAGCGAATCAGGTTTCTGCACTGTCGTGTTGCGCATTTGTTTCACGTGTAATGTTCATGTTTTCCCCTTCGTGTATCACCTTCTCAAAGTGCGGTCGGAGCTTGATCTTACTTCATTAATGCGTCAAGGACGTGGGGCCGGCACGATGGAGCGATTCCGGCAGAACTGTCGCCGCCCATTGTGACTGCACACGGCGCAGCGGTCTCGGCTGACCAGCGCCGCCTCCTCTGCCGCAGAGCGGATCCTGGCCCTGGATGAACGGCCGCTGCTGCTGATCCAGGACCAGCAGCGGGCCGGCGAGCGTGTGACCTTTGTGCTGCGGTACGACATGACCCAGGACGTCAGAGGTAAGGGACTCCCGCAGCCGACGCCCTGAGGCGGGACGGCCGCCGGTACCGGCTGCGGGACCACGCGCTGGGGCGGGAGGAATCGGCACCGCAGCACCCCCGCGAAGCGCAGACTCTGGTCTCCAATTAGCATGGAAGATGGATAAACCACTTTGCTCAGGGCGTAACTACCTGGGAAGTTTTCTGGGCACCAGCATCGCTCGACTGCGCCGGCGAACTTGATGTGTTTTCGAAGTAACGCCGGTGTGTCTCTATCAGCGCAGACTGAGAGCTGCCCACGGAAAAGTTCAGCGTTTTCGCTCTGCTGTCTGTTTTAATGTGCTTGACCCGCAGCACTTTCACTGCACGGCATCTCTCGAATCCCGAACACTTCTCCAGATATGAGAAGCGCACCCAGAGAACAGCTGGCCAAGCACAGCCTGGGCTTATCGCATGGGTTCTCAGGGTTGGTTTATGAATTATGCAGATGGCCTCTGCGTCACCAGTATCGAAAACTAAGTGGAAATGCAGCTGTTGCCAACCAGCAAAGTCACTCCAGTTTATAGCATGACAACTATCTAGCCTGCATCCAGCCGGCCTGCCTGAACAGCCGTTGTGTTTGCCAGTCTGCAGTGGCGCACCCGTCCACGGCCAGCCGTCTGGCCAGCCGGCGGCCGCTGACGTCGGCGCCGGCTGTATTTGGTGCGGGGGCCGGCGGCAGGGCGGGCCCGGACTCGCTCCGAGCCGTGCACGGACACATGCCCCCCGCTCGGCTGGGCGGAGGGCGTACCGCCTGCACCGGGGCCGGCCGCCGCCGCTGCGGGGGCGCTGCCCTCCGCAGCTTGGAGAGGGCGGCCGGCTGGGTCGGCCGGCGCGGCTGACGGTCGGAGCCTGACGTCGAGCTCCGGTCGGCAGCCGGATTTTTGGGCTGAGTTCATGACCTTCAGTATACCAGGAGGCGCTGGTTAAACGATGTTGCAATGCTAAATAACGATTATGTTGACAGGGCAGTGGCGGCAGGCAGAGCCCGGACCCACTCCCACTCATGCATGGACACATGACCCCCGCAAGGTCGGGCCGAGGGTGCTGCGCGGGGGTTAGGGGAAAAATTTCATTGGTTGTAATCTGCTTTCCATTGGTCGTAAGCGCGGCATCATATTTGGTGTACGAAACATTATACAGTTATGGTTATTTGTGGTGTTCAACAAACAATTCGTGTGCGCGTTTGTCTAGGCATCAGTATAGTTTCTAGATGCGGTCGGTCGCCCCAAATGCTTTGCTCAGAGAGGTGAGAAAAAACGCTATGGTTCTGCTAGGTAGGGTGGAAAGCTGTAATTGTGGTGTATTTTTCTCTACATAGTGTCATGCAAGAACAATAACATAACTGAGCAGCATGAGTTGCATTTTCATCCTGCAATTTGGCGGTGTGCCATCGTCCAGCGCTGATAGTAAAAGCACCCGTCTGACCATTATTTCAGATGAAGGAAACTTGATAGCTGTAGAACTAGAAAGGAAGGAGAGGCTATTCAGCCAGGCATCGTATCTACATATTTCTCGCTTATCTGCGGAAAGGAAGGCGTTAGTGACAATATGGGTCTGGTTGCCGTTTGAGACCTTCGTGGTTATCTATGGGCTTCCTGTGGTCCACATTCAGCAAGATGAAACTCTGCCAACTCCAGTGGTATTGATACGTAGCCGTAGCCTTTACGACGTCTTCCATCCTTGCGAGGGTCGCAGAACATATCCGCTAGGAAATTTGAAACTACCTCGCGATCTTGCAGATAAGCGGTTCGTCTATTTTATGACATCGAGATAAGCCGGCATCCATCATGTGGTGTTAGCTTCTTATCCGAGAACGCAGTCCCAAGAGGCTGCCGCGGATGATCCGAAAGACGTTTGGTGAGGTCGAATGCCGCGAGCTATCCATTCCCTCACACCATATGCAGTGGTTAGCACTGGTCACCGGCCTGAAGACCACTCAGATGGAACGCGTCCGCGCGAGATGCGTGGCCGCCAGACTTGCTTCTTTACTCTCCGTGCACGAATGCCCTAATCCAGCTTTGGCATGAACGCTTCTCCTCGGTTTGCCCATTCGTCGCAAGTGCGACATTATGTTCGATTTACGAAGCACGACACAGCCGTGCTTATTTGTTGTGCTCAACTTGCAACATAGCTAGTGCAGGCCGATATATGTTTAGGTATGTTTGCCGGCACAGAGGGCCCAAGAAACGCAAAACCGCCGCTGGAGCTGCCTGTTCTCCACGAAACATTGGTCCGGTGCCAAAGCATCGCTATGCCAGTCGCGCATCTCCACCGAACATCGATCTGTTGCGGAATCGAGGTGCCGATGCAGTCGCCGCGCCGGCACCGGTCGGCGGCGCGCCCCACCCGCCGCCGCGCCTAGCGTCCGGGGCGTCCGGCCTCCCTCCGCCTCCCGCCGCCGCGTCCATGATCACTCGCGGCGGCCGCGGCGCGCGGGGCTCGGGCGCCAGGTGGCCGCGCGGACGACCGCGCGCGGACGCGCCGGAATGCTGTCGCCGCGCGCCGCGGCTGGCCGGGCAGTGACGTCACGCGCGGCCCGAGCGCGCGGCAGAAGTGGCACGGCGAAGTGGGCCGGCCGGCCGCCTGCGGCCGCCGCCCTGCCCTGGCGCGCCCTGCATGGATCGCGGCGCGCTGAATATGTGAAGCGAGCGGCGGCCGGCGGCGCGGGTTCGGCTCCGGCCGCTGCCGGCCCCGGCGCCCCGGCGTTCGTGGCCGGCCCGTCAGCACCGCGCGAGGCCGCGGCCGTCGCAGTCACGCCGGGTCACGCGCGAGCGGCGAGCGTGGCGCGGCCGTGGGCCGGCGCGCGTCTGGGCGGCGTGGCAGGGGCAGGCTGTGGCGGCACCAGGAGTCGGGAAAGGGTCGGATTTGACGTCAGGGTCCCAGGCAGGCAGACTGCTTCGCTGTCAGGTGCCAGGGGTCCGTAGGCACCAGGGGGTTGGGACGGGGTAAGCCGTATCTGATAGGTTGATTGGCGTGCCCGCCCGTTGCGTCTCCTCCGCATGTCCTCCTCACTACCTCCCCCGGGCCGACCCAGCCGGTTGCCGCGGGCGGTCCTCGGGTCACAGAGGTGGACTCAGGTATCCAGGTTATTCCAGTGTCGACATCAGGGGCTGATATGAAACAAACCTAACGCCAGGGGACGGTTGGGGCTACACCACGCACCACGGACCAGGGACGGAGGCACGGTCAGACTGCGCTGCCATGAAGGTCTGCTGTTGTATACAGCTTCTATTGTATATATGTTTCAAACACCCAAAGGTCGGGTGCTTAAAACCGGGCAGCATGCTCTGTGTGCGAGAGAACGATGGTGCACATATTCATGATCTCGCTATATTTCGATGCAGACGGTTTTGTTACGGGCCAGAGGCCCGGTATGGCATCGGTGTTTTGAAGTGTATTTCTTTTCATGCCAAATCGTAGACTTTATGTTGGGAAACTCCGAGAAGCTAGGGACACTCTTCTCTCTGTGGTGAAGTTTACGGCGCGGAACAACTTTATGCGCGAGGTGAAGTTTTGTCGCGTTTGGAAATGGAACCTGTTGCTAGCAATGTAATTTGAACCTACCTCCGGACTGCGACTTTAATGCAGTACTGAAGCTGACCGATGTAAGCAGGGTGTCAATTTTTGTCAATTATTGGGGGCCGAACCGAAGGCCCGACAACCTACCGCCCCCCCCCCCCCCCCCCGCCCTCCTCCCACTTTTCGCTCACCGGATTTAGCGCACTTTATTTTGACTAAACGCAACATATATTGTATAATTTATAAAAGTATTTAATTTAAGCAGTATAGAAGTCATGCAGGGTTGGATTCAGGGAGCAGGCACTGGATGCACGCGTCTCTTCTAATCGGCAGGTGAAGGCGCCCCTTTAGAGGCTACCTTAGGGCGCCGATAGTGCTCTTCTGTGGCGGTCATGGAAGGCTACACGCATTTGGGTTGTGGGGGACAGGGACGAGGCTAGCCATGAAGGACTTAGGTTATCCCCATATTCCAAATATTTTCACTTTAACCTCACAAACGATTGCGTGTCTTATGGCGCTAGGTATGTAAAGTTTATTGCATCGTTTATCCGCTCAGCAGTTACGATTTTTATCTTGTGGTGAGAGCTACCATGACTTTTTGTTATGAGAGCGGTGCGGGACGCCACTACGCAGAAAGATCTAAGAGGACAGTCTTTGTGTTATCTTTTACCCACGGTTTGTTTAGTATTTCAGCTAAAAACATTGGGGGGGGGGGGGGGGGCAAGACAACATTGGGAGACTCAACTCAACATGGGGGGGGCAGGGCCCTCACTAGAGGATACACGACACTTGTGGATGTAAAACTGAAAAGAGCTGTGGATGTAAAACTGAAAAGAGCTGACAGGAGGTGGGCTCGACCATACGCTCAGTAAATGTCCGCTGCAAATGAAATGGAAAATCTATGTCAGAAGTGGGATTCGAACCCACGCCCGGAGAACCGGACTGCGACCTGAACGCAGCGCCTTGGACCGCTCGGCCATCCTGACCCGCGGCACGTGGTGGTGTAAATAACCTGAGGATATCAAAACCTAGTCGTGGATGCACGCAAGAAGTATTCAAAATGCAGCGTACCTTATTAGTACATGTTATGTATGTTTTCCAAATGCAAAATTGAGCTCAATCCCATCTAATTAAATTCGAAATCAGGGGATATAAGTGCTGAGACAGTTAAAAGAGTGAATAAACCAGAGTAAGTTGCGTCTTGCGGCAAACTGTTGGGCGGCTGCTAAATGCTGAAACAACAGGTGCATGGACATAAATGAGCAACCTCATCACGCTGCCTCATCCTCAAAGGTGCGGAGACTGCACGCTGGCGGTAGAGATGGCTGCCGCAACTTTGAAAAGAACTACCTTGAACCACCGGCATGGAAATACAAACCCACCGGACCGCACGAAGCATGGAGTACACGGTGATAATACGTACCCGTGAACGGCCCGCGTGCGGTCGCTGGGTCGCAGGA